TTTGATGTGGCTATTAAAATTTAAGTCTGAGTCCAGTATTACCCCTAGATTTCTGACCTTGTTTGAGGGTTTCAGGGAGAGAGACTGTAGGTGACAGATGACGCTCTAAGAGTAAGACATTTGTCAGTGACTTTTCTTAATCTTAAAGTGTGAAGCAGAAAGTTAAGGAGCAGGAGAAAACTGGTGCAGAGAACCAAAAAACTGAACTTTGTTTAATCTGCCTGATTGACAAATCTTACAATTTACTTGCACCTCGGTGAACTACTCATAAATTCCGTTGGTCTACTGTTACTTGGCATAATGTTTTTGGCAACCCAGGAAACCAATACAAAAAATAATGCAGGAAAAAAGCAGTGCCTTATAGTCCGAAAAATATTTCTTCTACTTTTAAGCTGTGGGAGGTCATTTTGACCCGAGAATAGCATAAGAGTTAAAGTACTTCTGGAAGCATCTTATTTTTTTATTATTCTCTATTATTTCAGGTTTCCCTGTTTCATCAAGGCAGTGTGTGAAGAGTGGTCTGAGGAGGAGACAGCGGCTGTGTTGAAGCATATGAAGCCTTTTATTGAGAATGGTGTAAATGCGACCATGCTGCAGTGTGAGAAGCTCCAGAAAATGGAACACCCGACCTTGGAGGCAAGATCCATTCAGAATATTAGGGATTTTGTACGGAACAGAGGCTTGGCCTTCAAAAGGAAGTCTAAGGGTAAATGCTAAATGGACTTTTAGATTGCTCAACCATGCTTTTATTTTTTTTGAATTTTCAGAAGTGTTTTTTTCTGTGATTTCTGGAGCTTATTCTCTAATTCTTAATGCTGTCCTGTTCTTGAACACATTTCATGAGGAGCCCAAATACAGTTCATTGATACAGCCAACATGGTTTGTTTATTATTATTAAGAAATCTATAATACTTTTTATCTCAGGTCATGTATGATTGTGTGCTGTGGACCAGTGATACCTGTTCATGCAGTGGGGATATTTCGCATGTTTGGATATTGATTGTTGAGGTCGTCCTAATAGATAAAGGCATTGTTTTTGTGTTTAGTCATTTAAAACATGCCTACAGTATTATAGAAATACGTTTAACATGTTAGTGTATAACCACTAAACTTATTTTTATACTATTACACTATTTGAAGGTTTGGAATGTGTATATAATATGCATTTCTCAATCTGTAAAAGTAGCCTTATGTAAGTCAATTGGGGGGAGGCGCTGTACTAGTGCTCCTTTTGACACTTCCACCTCTTTTCCTTTTAAGGAATAGCAGGATTGAGACGGTAAAGCCAGTTAAAACTAGGTATAAGTTGTTGAATTCAGTGAAAGTGTCGAATTAACACCATTACTAACCCAAAAATTTGCAGTGGATGGAAGAATAAGTCTAGATAGACAATGTGTCCTTTCAGAACGGGTTATACATAGTGTGTGTGTGTATGATGACATCACTGACCTTGTAAACCACACTGTCCTTATAGACCGTTTTTTTCATGATCATTGATATGATTTTTGAGGCTCTAGCACCACGGGAACCCAGTGTCCCCGTATACCTATGTACAGTCTGGTTTAAAGGGATTTTAGAAAAAATGTCCTTACAACGTCTCAAACGTGTGTGTGTGTGTGTGTGTGTGTGTGTGTGTGTGTGTGTGTGTGTGTGTGTGTGTGTGTGTGTGTGTGTGTGTGTGTGTGTGTGTGTGTCTGTGCGTGTGTGTTGCTCTATACAGTGACACTTGACCTCTCGCTGTAATGGATCCAAACGTCTGGTTTTATTCAACAAGTGAAACTCGGAAAAATACAATATCTTCCACAAGTTAATTTATTTCTGTGATTCAACTTAAAAAGTGAAACCAATAAATTGTAAAATAATAATAATAATTGATCAGTTTCAAACAGCGCTTGTTTGGACCCTGTCTCTTTGCTTTTGCTCCAGGAGTAAGAATCATGTATCGTAGCGTTATGCAAGTGCTTCCTGTAGTAATTAGTCAAACCTCCAGAGGGCGCTGTTCCGGAGCATTAACGTACTGTACAGAAAACAAGACACGGGGATAGAAAGTAAACGCATTTATTGAGCAGAATATTTAGGTTTATTCTGAACAGTACAACTTTATATGAGAATTACTACAAGTTTAGCAGAAGAATCGCAGTTTACTTCCTGGTTCTGGTATTTTTACTAGTCCTACACAGCACACGTCACAGAGATTAAGTGTATTGCTGCAGAATATTAGACAATTAATTATTATTATCATTATTATATAGATACAAATATATTTTTTACAATTACGGATTACATTAATTGCACAGTGATTGTTACAGATACAAAAATGTAACGTTTTGTCACTACACCGCATGGCGCTCGTGTGCTTATGCTAACGCTAACGTTCGACAATCCTTGTTTATAAAATGTATTCAAAAATGTGCTGTCAGGTCTTCTTCATGCATTTCTTCTACAAGCCTTAATTTACCCACAACGACATCTGACAAAGTTTTTCTTATGACCATAGACTGTGTACAGATGGACAATGCTAACACGCTAGCATAACAAAACCCCAATAGGGAAGTACTCCAACTCTCTCTGGCTTCTCTTGACTTGATTTCAAAAGTGAATTCCTCCGTTTTATGTCTTTGATTCTGCCGTTTTGTTTTTTGTCTTTTGTTCATTTAGTTTTTTTCAGTTCTTTGATAGTTCTTTATCATCTGAAATAAGCCCACCATTTTGATGCTAAAAATATCTGCGGATTCTAGTATATTTTTGGATATTTTCTTTGTATAGAATCTTACACATAAGTATTGACCAATCAGACGCCTTCATTCGCAGAGGAAACTCCAGATTTTCCCTAGCAACCACCTTAGCAACACGTCTGCCCCTGTCACCACACAAATACTGGAACAAATGCCCATATAAGGAAATTGGCTCCAGCTTCTGTTTAAATCGTCTTCGTCCGCATTAACGCCAACTCTGTGATGTCACACTCTTTATATACGGTCTATGGTCAAATCTCACATTTAAAGCTGCTCTATGTAACTTTAACTTTAAGACTGTGTGTGTGTGTCTGTCTGTGTGTTTGTGTGTCTAAATGTGGATGTGTGTGTGTATATTTGCGCGTATTTCTGTATGTGTGTGGATGTGTCTCTGTGTGTGTGTATGTGTTAGCGCGTGTCTGTCTATCTGTCTGTGTGTGTGTCTCTCTCAGTGTGGGTGTGTGTGTGTGTGTATTTGAGCGTGTGTGTGTCTGTCTGTGTGTTTGCGTGTGTGTGTCTAAATGTGGATGTGTGTGTGTATGTTTGCGCGTGTTTCTGTCTGTGTGTGGATGTGTCTCTGTGTGTGTGTTAGCGCGTGTCTGTCTGTTTGTGTGTGTGTGTGTGTCTCTCAATGTGGGTGTGTGTGTGTGTCTGTCTGTTTGTGTGTGTGTGTGTTTTTGCGCGTATTTCTGTATGCGTGTGGATGTGTGTGTGTTTGCGTGTGTGTGTCTAAATGTGGATGTGTGTGTGTATGTTTGCGCGTGTTTCTGTCTGTGTGTTTCTGTATGTGTGTGGGTGTGTGTCTGTCTGTGTGTTTGTGTGTGTGTTTACACTTATTTCTGTATCTGTGTGGATGTGTCTCTGTGTGTGTTAGCGCGTGTCTGTCTATCTGTCTGTGTGTGTCTCTCTCTCAGTGTGGGTGTCTGTGTGTGTTTGAGCGTGTGTGTGTCTGTCTGTTTGTGTGTGTGTTTGCGCGTATTTCTGTATGTGTTTGGATGTGTGTGTGTGTGTGTGTGTGTGTGTGTGTTAGCGCGTGTCTGTCTGTCTGTCTGTGTGTGTTTCTGTATGTGTGTGTGTCTATCTGTGTGTGTGTCCATCTGTGTGTGTGTCTATCTGTGTGTGTGTGTGTCATTTCTCCAAACATGTGCAGCAGCTTTAAACAGGGGTTGACTTTATACATTCTTGCACAAAATAAATACATATTTGTATATTGTAAGAAGTTCTGAGCAGTAACTACTTTAGATCCACGTTGGAAAGTTTCAACAAACGATGCATTTTTCAATATGTTTAGGATCAATAACAATGTTTCACTGAAGCATTAATCCTTGTTATCTTCAAACATGCAAACTGCACTGAACCCCTTCAACGCGCCCCTCGCTCTCAAAACATTTTACTTCTATCTCCAACTTCCACATGCATGTATCTCCCCCCTCTTTCTCATCTTAATATTTTTATACTTTTAAACATATTCATCTATTTGCTTGATAAATATTACACAATCCACATTTAGAAGCGCTTTTAGCACAATTAAAGACAATTTGGATCAGCCTTTTTTAGACAGAAAAGTGAAAAGACAGTTCCATTCTGAAAGTATGCACAAAATCACTGCAAAAAGAGAAGAAAAAAAGTCAAGAATTGCACAAATTTGAGCACATTCTGACTAAGTCTTAAAACCAGATTCTCCAATGGGACAAAACAAAATGATCTTGTTTTAAAAAGATACAGAAATGACTGAATGGCTTCATCCCAGAGGAGAATCTTGTTTAAAAACAGTCAGAATGTGTCAGATTGAGATAAAAACGACTCTATTTAAGCATTTACCGCCTCATGTTTTACAGTGTATTCCAGAAGAAGAATGCTGCATGTTCTACCTTTACAAAATGCATCATAATTGTCTTGTTTTTTAAGATATTTCGGCGGTGGCTTCAAAACAGCGCACAGAAAACTCACACACAAACATGAAACTGCTGCATATTTGCTGATGGCTCCGTTACGCTGTAAGAAACCGGCTACAAAGTCTCATGTGTCACATCTACAGCGAATCAGAAAGAGCCAGCTCCTCCTTTGTGCTTGACTGTGCTTCAGTGTGGGTCCCAGCAGGGGGCAGTGTTTCCTACGACATGGGGCTCTCCTCCTCCATCCTCCTCCTCGTGAGGTCTACGGGGCTATTGCAGGAGAGGAGGCCGGAGAGGAGGCGGTGAGGAGGCGGTGAGGGACATGTACACGGTGGAGGCGCTGGAGCGAGGCCCTCAGCTGTACGGCCCCTCACAGAACCTCTTCCTCTTTGACGTAAAGGATTTCATGAGCAGAGCTGGGCACCTGGGAACAGAGACAGGACAAGCCGCGAAGAATAAGGGTCTCCCCAGGAGATAGAGAGATGGGTAGAAAAAATAGATAGATAGACGGAAAGATAAGGTCCAGACAGATAGAAACTTTACTGATCCCTTTTGGAGAAATGCAGGAGTCCAGCAGCAGAAACACATCCATCCAAACACACAAATAAATACATGATTCCAAATGTTTACTTTAGAATGTTCTGGAAACTGCAGCGAGTCCTAAATGTCTCTGAAACTGTTGTTTTGTGTTTTACCATTTTTGTTCTGCCTGAGATGTTGCTGCAGTTCAGTTTTCACTGGTCCAGACCAGAGCAGAGAGGATTCATGGTTTTACACTGGTCCAGACCAGAGCAGAGAGGATTCATGGTTTTACACTGGTCCAAACCAGAGCAGAGAGGATTCATGGTTTTACACTGGTCCAGACCAGAGCAGAGAGGATTCATGGTTTTACACTGGTCCAGACCAGAGCAGAGAGGATTCATGGTTTTACACTGGTCCAGACCAGAGCAGAGAGGATTCATGGTTTTACACTGGTCCAGACCAGAGCAGAGAGGATTCATGGTTTTACACTGGTCCAGACCAGAGCAGAGAGGATTCATGGTTTTACACTGGTCCAGACCAGAGCAGAGAGGATTCATGGTTTTACACTGGTCCAGACCAGAGCAGAGAGGATTCATGGTTTTACACTGGTCCAGACCAGAGCAGAGAGGATTCATGGTTTTACACTGGTCCAGACCAGAGCAGAGAGGATTCATGGTTTTACACTGGTCCAGACCAGAGCAGAGAGGATTCATGGTTTTACACTGGTCCAAACCAGAGCAGAGAGGATTCATGGTTTTACACTGGTCCAGACCAGAGCAGAGAGGATTCATGGTTTCACACTGGTCCAGACCAGAGCAGAGAGGATTCATGGTTTTACACTGGTCCAGACCAGAGCAGAGAGGATTCATGGTTTTACACTGGTCCAGACCAGAGCAGAGAGGATTCATGGTTTTACACTGGTCCAGACCAGAGCAGAGAGGATTCATGGTTTTACACTGGTCCAGACCAGAGCAGAGAGGGTTCATGGTTTTACACTGGTCCAGACCAGAGCAGAGAGGATTCATGGTTTTACACTGGTCCAGACCAGAGCAGAGAGGATTCATGGTTTTACACTGGTCCAGACCAGAGCAGAGAGGATTCATGGTTTTACACTGGTCCAGACCAGAGCAGAGAGGATTCATGGTTTCACACTGGTCCAGACCAGAGCAGAGAGGATTCATGGTTTTACACTGGTCCAAGCCAGAGCAGAGAGGATTCATGGTTTTACACTGGTCCAGACCAGAGCAGAGAGGATTCATGGTTTTACACTGGTCCAGACCAGAGCAGAGAGGATTCATGGTTTTACACTGGTCCAAACCAGAGCAGAGAGGATTCATGGTTTTACACTGGTCCAGACCAGAGCAGAGAGGATTCATGGTTTTACACTGGTCCAAACCAGAGCAGAGAGGATTCATGGTTTTACACTGGTCCAAACCAGAGCAGAGAGGATTCATGGTTTTACACTGGTCCAGACCAGAGCAGAGAGGATTCATGGTTTTACACTGGTCCAGACCAGAGCAGAGAGGATTCATGGTTTTACACTGGTCCAGACCAGAGCAGAGAGGGTTCATGGTTTTACACTGGTCCAGACCAGAGCAGAGAGGATTCATGGTTTTACACTGGTCCAGACCAGAGCAGAGAGGATTCATGGTTTTACACTGGTCCAGACCAGAGCAGAGAGGATTCATGGTTTTACACTGGTCCAGACCAGAGCAGAGAGGATTCATGGTTTTACACTGGTCCAGACCAGAGCAGAGAGGATTCATGGTTTTACACTGGTCCAGACCAGAGCAGAGAGGATTCATGGTTTCACACTGGTCCAGACCAGAGCAGAGAGGATTCATGGTTTTACACTGGTCCAGACCAGAGCAGAGAGGATTCATGGTTTTACACTGGTCCAGACCAGAGCAGAGAGGATTCATGGTTTTACACTGGTCCAGACCAGAGCAGAGAGGATTCATGGTTTTACACTGGTCCAGACCAGAGCAGAGAGGATTCATGGTTTTACACTGGTCCAGACCAGAGCCGAGAGGATTCATGGTTTTACACTGGTCCAGACCAGAGCAGAGAGGATTCATGGTTTTACACTGGTCCAGACCAGAGCAGAGAGGATTCATGGTTTTACACTGGTCCAGACCAGAGCAGAGAGGATTCATGGTTTTACACTGGTCCAAACCAGAGCAGAGAGGATTCATGGTTTTACACTGGTCCAGACCAGAGCAGAGAGGATTCATGGTTTTACACTGGTCCAGACCAGAGCAGAGAGGATTCATGGTTTTACACTGGTCCAGACCAGAGCAGAGAGGGTTCATGGTTTTACACTGGTCCAGACCAGAGCAGAGAGGATTCATGGTTTTACACTGGTCCAGACCAGAGCAGAGAGGATTCATGGTTTTACACTGGTCCAGACCAGAGCAGAGAGGATTCATGGTTTTACACTGGTCCAGACCAGAGCAGAGAGGATTCATGGTTTCACACTGGTCCAGACCAGAGCAGAGAGGATTCATGGTTTTACACTGGTCCAAGCCAGAGCAGAGAGGATTCATGGTTTTACACTGGTCCAGACCAGAGCAGAGAGGATTCATGGTTTTACACTGGTCCAGACCAGAGCAGAGAGGATTCATGGTTTTACACTGGTCCAGACCAGAGCAGAGAGGATTCATGGTTTTACACTGGTCCAGACCAGAGCAGAGAGGATTCATGGTTTTACACTGGTCCAAACCAGAGCAGAGAGGATTCATGGTTTTAAACTGGTCCAGACCAGAGCAGAGAGGATTCATGGTTTTACACTGGTCCAGACCAGAGCAGAGAGGATTCATGGTTTTACACTGGTCCAGACCAGAGCAGAGAGGATTCATGGTTTTACACTGGTCCAGACCAGAGCAGAGAGGATTCATGGTTTTACACTGGTCCAGACCAGAGCAGAGAGGATTCATGGTTTTACACTGGTCCAGACCAGAGCAGAGAGGATTCATGGTTTTACACTGGTCCAGACCAGAGCAGAGAGGATTCATGGTTTTACACTGGTCCAGACCAGAGCAGAGAGGATTCATGGTTTTACACTGGTCCAGACCAGAGCAGAGAGGATTCATGGTTTTACACTGGTCCAGACCAGAGCAGAGAGGATTCATGGTTTTACACTGGTCCAGACCAGAGCAGAGAGGATTCATGGTTTTACACTGGTCCAGACCAGAGCAGAGAGGATTCATGGTTTTACACTGGTCCATGCCAGAGCAGAGAGGATTCATGGTTTTACACTGGTCCAGCCAGAGCAGAGAGGATTCATGGTTTTACACTGGTCCAGACCAGAGCAGAGAGGATTCATGGTTTTACACTGGTCCAGACCAGAGCAGAGAGGATTCATGGTTTTACACTGGTCCAGACCAGAGCAGAGAGGATTCATGGTTTTACACTGGTCCAGACCAGAGCAGAGAGGATTCATGGTTTTACACTGGTCCAGACCAGAGCAGAGAGGATTCATGGTTTTACACTGGTCCAGACCAGAGCAGAGAGGATTCATGGTTTTACACTGGTCCAGACCAGAGCAGAGAGGATTCATGGTTTTACACTGGTCCAGACCAGAGCAGAGAGGATTCATGGTTTTACACTGGTCCAGACCAGAGCAGAGAGGATTCATGGTTTTACACTGGTCCAGACCAGAGCAGAGAGGATTCATGGTTTTACACTGGTCCAGACCAGAGCAGAGAGGATTCATGGTTTTACACTGGTCCAGACCAGAGCAGAGAGGATTCATGGTTTTACACTGGTCCAGACCAGAGCAGAGAGGATTCATGGTTTTACACTGGTCCAGACCAGAGCAGAGAGGATTCATGGTTTTACACTGGTCCAGACCAGAGCAGAGAGGATTCATGGTTTTACACTGGTCCAGACCAGAGCAGAGAGGATTCATGGTTTTACACTGGTCCAGACCAGAGCAGAGAGGATTCATGGTTTTACACTGGTCCAGACCAGAGCAGAGAGGATTCATGGTTTTACACTGGTCCAGACCAGAGCAGAGAGGATTCATGGTTTTACACTGGTCCAGACCAGAGCAGAGAGGATTCATGGTTTTACACTGGTCCAGACCAGAGCAGAGAGGATTCATGGTTTTACACTGGTCCAGCCAGAGCAGAGAGGATTCATGGTTTTACACTGGTCCAGACCAGAGCAGAGAGGATTCATGGTTTTACACTGGTCCAGACCAGAGCAGAGAGGATTCATGGTTTTACACTGGTCCAGACCAGAGCAGAGAGGATTCATGGTTTTACACTGGTCCAGACCAGAGCAGAGAGGATTCATGGTTTTACACTGGTCCAGACCAGAGCAGAGAGGATTCATGGTTTTACACTGGTCCAGACCAGAGCAGAGAGGATTCATGGTTTTACACTGGTCCAGACCAGAGCAGAGAGGATTCATGGTTTTACACTGGTCCAGACCAGAGCAGAGAGGATTCATGGTTTTACACTGGTCCAGACCAGAGCAGAGAGGATTCATGGTTTTACACTGGTCCAGACCAGAGCAGAGAGGATTCATGGTTTTACACTGGTCCAGACCAGAGCAGAGAGGATTCATGGTTTTACACTGGTCCAGACCAGAGCAGAGAGGATTCATGGTTTTACACTGGTCCAGACCAGAGCAGAGAGGATTCATGGTTTTACACTGGTCCAGACCAGAGCAGAGAGGATTCATGGTTTTCACACTGGTCCAGACCAGAGCAGAGAGGATTCATGGTTTTACACTGGTCCAGACCAGAGCAGAGAGGATTCATGGTTTTACACTGGTCCAGACCAGAGCAGAGAGGATTCATGGTTTTACACTGGTCCAGACCAGAGCAGAGAGGATTCATGGTTTTACACTGGTCCAGACCAGAGCAGAGAGGATTCATGGTTTTACACTGGTCCA